TGTTTCATTCGTCTGCCTCTAGATGAATAAAGAAATAGAAACACCATTACTTGTGAAGAAGAAAATGCAGGACTCTCCTTAGTTTTATCCCAGAATAACTTTATCTAGAGGATTTCCAGGCAGCGGTGGCTAAAAAACCAGCACCCAGATTCTGTGCCCCTGAGTCCCACCTTCTCCCCAGCTTGTGTCCTTGATGTCTCTGGCTGAAGTATGCAGGGAATCTGTCCCTTGCTTCTGTCTGACAGACGTCTCAGGAGAGAACCTCGCTGAATGTGGTGTTAAGGAAGGAACGGTGAACAGTCCATGGCGGGGACAGCGCAAAAACGGTGAAGTAACCCAGTCAGAGTGTGTGCCTTGAGGCTCACAGCCGCCGCCACCTCGCAGCCCTGGTACCGCCCCCTTCCCTCCTGTTCCTTCCGTGTGTATTACAGCACAGCGTCTTCTAGTCCTGATGTTCTGACCCCGGCCACCCCGGGCTGAGTGAACACCTTCCACTGTTGTATGCACAGGCGTCGACTTTCTTACTCAGAGTCAGAATTCATCCAGATGCAACGCGAGTCTGGTGAGCTGTGCCTTGCGTTAACATCCCCGCCTCGTCTCTTTATTCAGCGACTGACTCTGTGCTCTTGGAATGCAGAGGTGACTTCTCTGTCCAGCGGTAATTTGTAAGGGACCTGTGGTGTGTTTGCCCAGTACAAGGGACTGTCTGTGTTAGAAGGTGGTGGGGTGGGTGTGGAAGGTCAGATACTGTGTGTCCGTGTGTACATGTGAGTGTTGTGTGTTTGTGTGCATGGCCCAGGCTGGAGAGGACTGGAAAGGCTTTTCTTGAGCCCTGGTACTATACATTCTTAGGGCCCTCCCACCATAACACTCCAGCAAGTGTTCCTGGGAGTTCTCCTTCCAGTATGGCCAAATAAGCTTCCACTGGACCAACCCTTCCAGAGACGACACATCTAAATGTCGGGCAATGTTAGAGAACTAAGTTAATGATCGATAAAGAAGTAGCCAAACCCCTTGAGGCCTTGTAGATTGAATTTAAGCAAGAGAGTTCTGGAGGGGAGTCAGCTCTTGATGATGGGGTAGCACTTGCTCTATAGCTTTTCACCCAAATGAGGGCTGGGGTTGACACCATAGAAGGCGGATAAAACACTGGCAGAAAAGCAATCGTCTTTCCGGCCTGAAGAACCAGAGGGATGAGTTCTGGTGTGATGGTTCACCTTGAGTGTCAACTTGATCAGCTTAAGAGGCACCGGAGAGATAGGTAGCACACACTTCTGGGTGTGTCTGGGTGGACCGTGGGGGTGTGACCTTGGAGACTGTATCTGGTCTCTTTTACTCTGGCTCGTCCCCTTTCCTGTGTGCCTCCGCCATGCTCCTCTGCCATGATGTCTCTGCCTTGGAACCAGCCAACTATGGACTGAAACCTCTGCAACCACAAGCCAAAATAGACCTCTCCTGCTTTAAATTGCAGTTGTCAGATATTTTGTCCCAGTGATGGAAATCTGACCAATACATCTGGGCAACTAATGTCACTGGAAAGTAAAAGTGTATGTGTATATCTGGATGTCCCCCCAATCCTGATGCTCTCAGAGTTGGGGCTCTGGGGAGAGGATTGGGTCATGGGTGTGACACTCATCATCGGATTAATCCACTAATGGGTTATGATTCAGCGTGATTTGGCGGGGGAAGCCTGGTCGGAGGGTAGGTCACTGAGGGTGTGGCCCGCAAGGGTCTGTCTCCTCCTGTTCCTCCCTTGATCTCACTCTTTGCTTCCCACCACACCATGAGCTATTTCTCCTCTGCCAGGCCCCTCTGCCATGCTGCCCCGCCTTAGAGCCAGCCGACTATGGACTGAAACCTCTGCAAACTGTGAAGCAAAATAAACCTCTCCTCCTTTACATTGTGGATGTCAGGTATTATGTCCCAGGGATGAGAAAACTCACTAAGACACTCTCAAAGACTTGAAAGCAGCTCTTATAGAAACACTTGGTGAAACAAAGGAAAATGCACCAATAATGGTTGAAAATACAGGAAAGCTTGGCAGAGAAATAAAATTATAAGAACCACCAAATGGAAGCCGAGATGAATAGTACACATCTCTAATCCTAGCACACCGGGAGGCTGAGGCAGGAAGATTGCAAGTTCACATACCCAGCCCAGGCAACTTGCCAAGATCCTGTACCAAAATAAAAAAGGGTCAAAGATGTAGATCAGTCTGAGGGCCTTGGGTTCAAGTCCCAGTACTGCAGAAGAAGAACAAAGAAGAGAAGGAGGAAGAGGAGGAGGGAAACCTAGAGCTGAAAAATAAGACCTATGAAATAAAAATCCTACCAGATGGCTTAGCCAGCAAACAAAGATGATGAAAGAAGACTCTGAGCTTGAAGCCAGATCAGTGCAAGTTACACAAACTGAAGAAGTGAGAGAAAGGTCAAAAATAAAAACAGAAAAGAAGATTGCCTCCAAGGGACATGGTGTCATAGCAAAAGGTCTAACCCTGGTGTAGGCAGAATCAAAAGAGGCAGCAAGAGAAAGACCAGAAAAGAAAACTCAGGTGAAGAAATAATGGCTAAGACTTCTCAGTTTTGGTGAAAGCCCTAGCTGTATAGATTTTAGGAGCTGAGAACACCTTGAGGGTAAGTAAAAAAATCAGACAAATGGCCGAAAACCGAAATCAAAGAGGGGAACTGTAAAAGCAGGATGAGAAGAACAGTACCTCACAGAGGGCCGTGATTCGAGCCACCCTTGACCTCTCAGGTGAAACAGCAGAGGCTAGAAGAGGTCTCCAGCAGGACGGTGACCCCACCCCTCCGACAGGACCAGCACAAGTCAAACCTCTCAACTCGGAATTTTATGTCCAGCCCGAGGTTCCTCGAAGAACCAAGGTGGTGTTTTCAAGTTAAGCAAAACAAAACAAAAACAAAATAACTCCTTGCAAGCCCACCTCCACTGCACACAATGCTGCAGGAAGTTCTCAGGCCTCGATGCCAGGCAGTCTGGGATGCTCATGTAGCGCTGGGCACCGCACTTGACCGGCACCTGCTGTGAGCCCCTGGGTCCCATCACCAGCACTTCGCAAATGCACACATGCATAGACATTCAAAATAATGGTGTCTGATTAAATGTAAAAGGCTACTGGTTTTTTTTTAATTTAAAAGAATGCCCGGCATTGTTCAAAACCAAGATATTGTAAATGTAAGCCAAACGCAACTGTAGCATAGCCTGCAGAGATACGGGCCGTGCGGTTGCAAGGTTCCTGGTTTTTACGCAGAGTCGTGCCTGGTCCACTCGAAATGCACGGTGAGCTGCTGCAGTCCACAGAGACCACCAAATGCGTGGCACAGAGAGGCACAGCAACTGAGAGTCACGTGCAGAAACGGGTGCATGGCTCTGCCAGGACGCTCTGCAGCAGCTGAGCTGAGAAACGCCAGGGTCCTCAGCGCCTTCACGGGCACCACCCGCTGGGGCCCTGGGTTTCATCTGGAGCCCAGGGACTGTTCCAGGGGACGCAGGGTGGGCGAGGAAGAGCCAGCCTACGTCTTGTCCCTGGGATGACAGAAGCAACTGTGCAGTGAACCGGAGCACGCCGGACCAAGTCTGTCACGCTTAGGGGGACTCTCTCAGGAATGTGCCTCCCAGAAAAGACGCCGGAAGTGACTAGATTGGATAAATGTTTTAAAACACGTTTCAGAGGGCCTGAAATCTCAGCACTCTGAGAGACTGAGGCAGGAGGATCCTGGACAATTTACCAAACCTTGTCTCAAAATAAAAAATAAAAAGGGTTGAGGATAGAGCTCAGTGCAAAGGCCCTGGGTTCAATCCCCAATGCTGAAAAAAAAAATCTGTTTTATAACAGTGACAGCTAGCCTTGCGCCGTGCTGTGAACTGCCTCCGAGGGATGTGATAAACCTAGTGGATTCACTGCTGTGTTCCCTTAGAAACGAAGGTGGTGCAGGGGGCGCGAGTGGGTGAGGGTGGCATCTGTGTTTGTGGATGGCCTCAAGAGTCCTGCCTGCTGGGCTTGCGTGTAGCGTACCTGCCCCTCGGGGACAGCACGGGGACTGCCACCTGAGTCCTGCCACCTCTTCCCACGCTCACAGCCCTCCAGGCTGGGAAACATTTGCCTACAGACATTCTCCTTCTCCCCATTACATGTTTTTATGAAAGGACTAAGCAGGAGAAATTTGCCATGAATAATTCATGTGTAATTGTTTTCAAAACATGAAGTTATTTTTTAAAGCGAGCAACCAAGCTGTCTATGGGTTGCGGAGCGTACGCCTCTGGGTGCTCGCGTAGGGCACAGCTCTCTCTCTTAACACTTGCGTCTGCGTCCCGTGCCAGGCCACACCCTGCAGGGCCGGGCCAGGCTGCGTGCAGGTGCGCAGAGGGGGCCCAGGGTCCCCTTCACGCAGTCCTGCCTAAGTCCCCGCTCGGGCCCTGGCGGGGAAGGCAACCAGCGGGTGGACCAGCCAGGGAGAAGGGGACAGGTGCCGTGGACGCCCCTCCATCAGACAGCCACAGAGCTTCCCACTGCAGCCACTGGTCACAATGAAAACCCTGCATCCCCTCCTCAAAGCGCCCTGCATTATCGTGTCCGTGTCTCCTCCGTGTGCATGCAGATATAGCTTGGAGGCTCTGAACCCATTGCAGTGACAGCACCTTTGGACGGGGGAGAATGGGAGGCAGGCCCTGCAAAGCTTTGCTGAGCTGCCCTGAGTCCAGGTCCCAGGCACACGGAGCTGCACCGACCTGGGTGTCGTGCCAAGCTGTATGGGCCTGGTGCCACACGAAGCTCCTGTGTGCCCAGGTGCCATGCTGACTCAGCCTGGGTGCGTGATGCTGGGTCCTTTCTTTGTTCACCCATGCACTCAACAAACACAGTGCCCACCCTCAGCAGCCCGGGTGGGGACAAGCCATTAACAGTCCTGAGCAGGAGGGGCTTAGCGGAGCAAGGGCGCTGGTGCCAACATAATCATTGTCCACCACCCCCTCTTCCCTGCTAGGTGCTAGAAGCCAGCGGGATGCCCATGGATGAGGAGCAGTTTTGGCTGCTGGCTACGAAAATCGGCTATAAGAAGGAAGGGATGAGCTACCTCGACTTCACAGCAGGATTCGAAGGTACAGGTGGCCGCACACACCTGCGAAGCTATCCTACCAGCACCAGCAGGCTGCTGGCGTCGAGCGTGCCGCCCCTGTTGTCCAATCAGTGTGGGTTCTGGGGCTGGAAATGGGCATTTTGGCAGGAAACGTGGGGCTGGCCCGAGGGCTCGCTCACCTGGAGCATACATGGGTCTTGAATTGACCCCAAGGCCTGTTCCCTCGGTCACACCTCATGCCCTAAGGTTTTCTCCTCACAAAGATGCTGGTTATCTCAAATTAATGCCACCCACAGGCAAGGCAAGCAGCGTGCCTCCCTGTCAAGAGACAGGGACCCAGAGATCCTAGGAGATCCCCCAGCCACGGTCTGCCCAGGCCCAAAGTGGTGAGGAGCCAGGAGGCCCATCTTGTGCAGTGAGGTTGGGCAGGGTCTCAGCTCACAGCCCAGACCACAGCCAGGAAACTCACAGCCGCGTCCTGGGACTGGCCTCCTCTTTGCTGTGGGTGCCCTGCAGGCTGGCCACTGGCCCCGGCAGCCTTGGCTGTGGGATGTGACTGCCGCTCCTGCAGAGACCTGGCCGGCTCAGCACCAGGGCCCACATAGCGCTGCCATCTTGGGGCTTCACGGCCCTGGGGGTGGCTGCACCCTGTGGGCAAAGGGCCACTGGAGCGGCGTCTTGGAGTCTCGCCACTGTCTCTGGGTATGCGTCTTGACGCTCTTGAAGGGACACAAAAGGAGGAGAGGAAGCAGTGTGTATTTCAGTGAGTGCACGCCTCCCCTGTGTGTTCTGCCCTGTGCCCTCCTTTCTGGGGAGAAATTGGGGCCCAGGGTGAGAGGGGTGGACACACGCCCAAGACCTGGGCTGGTGAGGCTCCCTGCTCTGCTCTTGCTCCCCATGACCTGGTCCCTCTGCCCCTCCGAGCTGTATCAGCCCCGACACTACCAGACCCTGTGGGGAGGGAGAGCCATGCTCAGGAAACCCCCGCGGGGGTCAGTGATAGCACGGCGGAGGGGTCAGGGCATCTGCAGGCGGCACCCAGCCCCTGCTCTGGCGTGGGGGTGCATCAGAAGCTGAGCTCAAGCCTGGACCAGAGGATGCCTGCAACCTTCCAGCACCCCACCCTGTCTCCTGCAGACACACCCCAGCAGGGCATCTATAACCATGTACCTAGGGTCCAGCCTGCTGTAGACAAGGCCACACTCTGATGCCCTGGCCAGGTGGGGACCGTTGGGTTTCAGGTAGAGACCACCCCCCATCTTAAGGGAGGCAGAAGACAGGATGCAGTCCGTGAGCACTGGACCCAGCAGGCCACGCCTAGATTTAGCTGTGCTGCCTGCAGAGCCAGGGGACCTTGTGCACCCCACCTTCTGCTCTGCATAGATGCACAATTCACTGTCTAATGCTTAGAGCAGGCATGTTTAAGGTTTCTGCTTGTTGGGGTCATTGGGAGAACCGAGAACTGCATGATGCCCCCAGCATGGCGTCTAACAGACACACGCTCAGGAAATAGCTGTCAACAAGTCAGGGCCGAATCACGCTGCCGTCCTCAGGACGTGATTCTAGGGACCAAGAGGAGGGTGGAATTCTCCCTGGGAGCCAGGAGAGGAACAGGATGCCGTCCTGGCTCTCGAGGAAGAGCAGTGACACCAGACAAGCACACACTCCAGGACACCCGGTGTGACATGTCCCAGTAGTCTGGGAACAAATCCCTCTTGTCATAAAAGGAGCATTTCTAAGGCTCCTTAGAAATGGGAGGAAGAGCAGCGCGATCGAGCACAACACAGTTAGTGCGGTGTTCACGTCTGCGGGTGCCCTGACCGAGAGCATTTAACAAGGCTTGGGAAGGAAAGAAAGCGCCAGAGTAGGAATGAAGAGCCAGGCGTGGCGCTAATGGACGTCTTACGATTTCTGCCACTGTTTCAGAGGCTAAAACAAATGGGCCAGCTGCGACGCCACCCCAGACTCCGATTTCTTCAAAAAATCACCTGAATGGCCACTTCATCACTGCTGAAGAATGCCTGAAACTCTTCCCCAAGAGACTGAAGGAGTCCTTCCGGGTAAAGTGTGACTGTTTAGCACCCCGCTTGTCTAGGCCTGCCCCCCCCACTTACTAGCAAGCAGCCCACGCAAGTGTGAGTCCCAGTCACCTCGGGACACGCGGCTCTCCCCGGGAAGACTCAGCGTGGTCCAAGGGGTGCTGGCCCCAGGGGAGGGGTGGGGAGGCCCCTCCATTCCCCGAGGCCTCCAGCTGACACTCAGCTGGGAGGAGAGAGGGTCTGTGCCACCCCGGCTGCAGTGCCCTTAGGACCCGCACATCCCTTCCACCCCACTGGTTCGCTCACCAAGCCGAAGTCATGCACGCCCTTGCTGTGTGCTATAGCCGGTACTAAGTGCTGCGCTAGGTGGGAGCTGTGAGCCCTGCCCAGAGCCCGGTCTAATCCAAGACACGGGGCTGAGGCCTCTGGGTGGACTTCCTGGAGGAGGTGACCCCCCCACCCCTGCACTGAGCCTGAAGCCCCCGTCATATCCTGGGTGGAAAAGGGAAAGCAAGTTCTTGGCAGGGGGAGCGAGGCAGGCGTGGCCGATGGCGCTCGGGAACGACACGGGGCTCAGTGTGGCAGACACGGGTTTCCCGCGTGTGTGTGTGTGTGTGTGTGTGTGACAGCTAAAACAGAAGTGCACAGCGGCTCCCCGAACACAGAGACAGGGACAGAAGCCCTAAACCCTTTCCACGCCAATTAAAGAGGGGCATTCGAGTAGGAGGGACATCAGCTCCAAAAGAGGGCAGAGGGGCACTGGAGGACTGGAAGGTGCCCTGACCCAGTGGGCGGGAGGGAGGGATGGTCAGGAGACAAAGGGGAGGAGGACGGACAAGGAGAGACCTCAGGGGGCATGGAGGGGGGCCGCAGGCTGCAAGCTGTCTTCCTGTGCTGGGCACAGCTGGCGAGTCACGTGGTCACCCCACCCCCATTTTAAATGAACCTGGGGGCTCATGACCGTCCAGCTGGGGTTTTCCAAGACGGCCCGACTTGGGACATTCTCTGCTGTCACCAGACCGTGCATCCTAATTTTTGCTTTGGAAAAATGTCACCAAATGCACCCAAGGAGGAAGGTTAGTCCTGATTGCATCCACGCCAGCACCCAGCCAGGAGGGGCAGCGCCGAGTGCAGAGGGGGCAGGGGACACGTGGGTCGCGGAGGAGGAAAGGGACAGGGAGCTGATGTCCCCTAGCTCAGCCCGCTCCTCCAGCCCTCTGCTGTCTCCCCCTCGCCCACCCTCGCCTGTCACAGTGGGGCAGGGGGTGTCCAGCTCCAGGCCGGCGGCACCGTCGTCCAAGTGTTGCTTGGCTACAGGGAATGTGTGTCTTGTATTTCCTAGGATGGCCTTTATTTGAAATAATTAAACAGTGCATTGATTCAGTAGGCGTTCACCGCCACCCTCTCCATCCCGTGGAGGTTTTTATAACCCAGTGGCTAAAACAGAAACCCTTACCCCAGTTTTAGTGTGAGACAGGCCAGGCGCAGGTTACTGTGGGGCTCGCTGGCCCCGTTCTCTGTGTTTCAAACTTCTGAAGTGGTTAAAATGCTGTCCTTGCTGGTGTTATTGGTGTTGCCTAGTCGAATTGGAAGCAATGGGCTCCACCTCGGCCCTCAATCAGGCTTAGAGACCAGGGCAAGCTTGCGTGGGTCCCTCACCCTGGCAGCTGCTGAAGTGCCAAGGAAGCAGGCACACAGGTCCCTTGGTGGCCTGCGGGTGTGCCCTGGTACCGAGTCACATCCAGATTCTCTGAGGCACCTGTGTGCTGACCTTTGACCTGGAAACAGATGTAAAGGAGCCTGCGGCATCAGCGTCCTTCCAGGTCCCCTCTCTGCAGGGCCAGGCATGCACACTGCATGCTGTTAAAAAGCACACCCATGAGTGAGGCTTCCACACTCCCCTTCTCCCATCCCTGTCCCTCCTGGGCATCTGGCCTTGCCGGTGGTCTCAACAACACGTGGCCCTGACCAGGCACCACACACCCCAACAGCGGCCACCATCCAGACCACACAGTAGTGATCTCATGTAGTCACTGAGTCCCCACACCACCTGTCAGGCAGTGAAGGAGATGCACTGCACACAGGGCTTCTTCTATTTTAACCTCTCAAGTAGGTTTGAGCATTCCCATTTTATAGATTGAGAAACTGAGGTTAGAGACACAGAGATGCTTAGGCACAGCCATCCAGCAGGAGCCTGGAGACGGGAAAATATCTGTTTGATTGCAGAGCCTGTGTCATAAAATAGGAGTCTGTACTGGGAAGCTGAAGGCCAAGATGTGGGGAACGAGTAGTTTATAAACTCATGCAGGTTGGGAACATGGCGTTACCTTGCACTTAGATTGTCCCTCGAGTGCAGAAACGAGGGCTGCAGGACACTGGTGTCGTACGTGCTTCCCTGGTCACACTCAACGCTGTCCCCTGCTTCAGTCTTCCTTCCCCAACACGCTATGGGGACCATGAGTCAGTCATCACCGTGGGCTGCACTTAGCAGAGTGCTTGGCACACAGCATGCACCCAGGAAATACCCAGTGCTTCCTTCCCACCCAGCAACTCCCTCCCACAGGGACCACTGAACCCTTTTCCGGGGCTGGGGCCCTGACAGGCGTGGGTGGCAGCCCAGGCCCCATGCTTCTGTCCCAGAGGGAAGGCGGGCCCTGGACACATCAGTCTGAAGTGTGGCAGAGGGGATGTGCACCAAGCAGGAAGGTGAGGGCGAGGGGCCACAGGCGGTGCTGTTGTCCGGAGAGGTCAGGCACCAGCTCTAGGAGAGGCAGGGTTCAGGCTCAGAGCCAGGGAGCAAGGAGGAAGCCAGGCCAGCCAGTGCTAGGGGAAGCGGGGCTTGCTCTCCCGCCTGGTGGCCTTGGGGCAGCAGAGAACAGCTGGGGTGGATGCAAGGAGCGCAGGTCGGCAGGAGGCGGGCCTGAGATTGAGCAGAGGAGATGAGCCGCGGGAGCTGGCAGGAGCTATACAGGCATGGGTGGCAGGACAGGATGGCAGCCGTGAGGGATTCCTGAGGATCCAGGGGTCCTGGCCAGGCAAGAGGCAGTGTGCTGTGTATGAGGTAGATCTGAAGTGTCCCTCAAAGACTGCAAGGTGATTGGATCCTGGGGGGCTATCATCATCAGTGGATTCATCACTGGTGAGTCTGTGGCTGCCTGTGCTGCTAGGGGCTGGTCACTAAGGGGTGAGCTGGAAAGGTGTGTCTGGTCCCCGCTCTTCCCTGCTCTCCCTGCTTCCTGGCTGCCATGAGACGAGCAGCTCTCCTCCACCAGCCCCCACTACCAGGCCCTTCCTGCCCTGGAGCCGGCGGACCACGGGCTGATCCCACTGAAAACTGAGTCATATTAAGTCTCTCTTCCTTTGCATTGTGGTGTTGGGTGTAGTGTCCAGTTACATAGAAAGTGACTGGTCACCGGGAAGCAGGGCGGATTCCGGATGCACTCTGCAGGGAGAGTTGGGGCATGTGTGGACACAAAGGATGTGGGGTTTGAGGGGGAAATGAGGAGGACCTCTAGGTGTGCAGTCCCAGCGGCTGCCGCCTGCAGGGACAGAGACAGGAACGCATGCGGAGGAGCAGATGGGGCAGGGATGGGGGCTGGAGTTTGATTTTGCCTTGCTCAGTGTGCCGTCTAGGAGGAAACGCCTCAGGCTGGGGGAGATGTAGGGGCGAGAGGGCTCGGAGCTGGGGTGCAGTCAGCATCAGTAAACAGTTGGACCTAAGCCCTGGGAAGCCCCCCAGGAGGGTAAGGCCACAGCCAGTTAGACACCTGCCTCCCAGCGGGGTGGCAGTGGTTCTGAGAGGCAGGGGCAGAATCTTTTTAATTGATGTCTACAGTATTTAGCGCAGCAAATGCACACACTGGGTGCTGACTGATGGGTGAATGGATAGAAGAGTGAAAACCACTAGATCTTCCCATAACACCTCAAAGCATGGCGTCAGACCCTTGACTCGAAGGAGGGCTTGCTGCTTCTTGTCCCGAACAACCCCTGGGGGGAGGGGGGAGTGGCTGCACAGAGAATGGGGCAAGGGCAGAGCCTCCAGGCTGGCCCAGTGCCTCCTGGGTTAGGACAGAGTCAATCACCCTGAGCCTCTGTTTCCTCATCTGCAAGGCTGGAGTCCTGGTGCCCTCCTCCGGGCAGCACCACGGACAGCGCAAAGGCGTCCTGGCCTCCCTTCTGGTGGGACGGTCTGGTCTGTCGGCCTGTACACAGCCGTAGCCACGCGCTGTGAAAGCCACCGAAGACACGGAGAGCAAGATGATGTTGACACACTCTAGAAAGCCCTGGCGCCCCCTTCTCACTCTGGCTACAGGGGAAAGGAGCGCCACAGCCCGGGTGGAAGGGAAAGAGAGCTCCTCTGTCCCGCTGCCCAAACGCCTTCTTTTGAAAGAGGGAGCTGGAGAGTGCAGTTTCTGATTTCCCTGGAAATGCAGAACAGGGCTGAGAGACCAGGGGAGCTGCAGGGCTGCCAAAGGCCACTAACCCTCCCCGTCATCACCATCCCTGTCCCCGGGAGCCCCGCGGGACAGGTGGGGCTGGAAGGGAGTCGAGTGGCCCGGGTGCGAAGGGAAGTGCGTTGACTCTGCGTTTTGTTTCTAGGACCCCTACTCTGCCTTCTTTAAAATAGACAGTGACAGGGATGGCATAATCAACATGCGTGATCTTCACAGATTGCTTCAGCGGCTGCTCTTCAACCTGAAAGACGAGGAGTTTGAGCGCCTCCTTGGCCTTCTTGGTTTGAGACTTAGCGTCACCTTAAACTTCCGGGAATTTCAAAATCTATGTGAGAAGGGCCCCTCCCGGATGGATGACGCACCCCAAAGGCTCATTAGGTAAGAAGCAGCGGGGTCTGTGTCTTCTACGCGCGCAGGCCTTTGCTGATGTGACGTCCGAGGGGTACAAAGAGCAGAGCAGTTCTTTCTCGCTTTGCTGACTTGAAGAAAGTCTGCACCGGCCTGTGCACTCCAGGTGCAGCAGTCAGAAAACACAGCCCTCCTCTCGCACCCAGGAGCACCATTCCCGGTGTCACTGGGCATCCTGCCTGCCTGTGTGTACTCTCTGTCTGTTAATCTGACGTCAGCTGTACGTGCTTTTCTGTTTCCAGTACCAGGGTCTTCGCACTGAACTACCTTCCCAGCCCCTTTTTAATGTTTTTGTTTTTGAAAGACCGTCTCACTCAGTCGCTAAGTTGCCCAGGCTGGGCTGGAACTTGTGACCCTCCTGCCTCAGCTTCCCAGAAGGCTGTATATGCTCTCGGCTCAGCCTTTTAAGGATGCAGCTTCCAAGGCCACTCTGAGCTCTCTGCCTAAGCCTCGGCCTCCAAGGGGCCACTGCAGGGCAGGAGGGCACTGTGACTGTTCCCCAGAAAGTGAGCCTCCCTGCCTCCTCCTCCCCTGCAGACGTTCAGCGAGGCCGCAGGGATGAATCTGTCTTGGGGCAGTCGGTGGGAACCGAAGTGCTGTCTGTGCCGCCACCCTCCAGCCCTTCAGGGCAGTGTGACCGCCAGAGCCCTGCCGAGCACAGCCTCACCCCCGCCAGCAGGCGTCTCAGCGCCCGGCCGGGCTCTGAGCTCAGTGCTCTTTCACCTTTTCTCCACAAGCACACGCACTCCCTGCAGGTTCAGGGGCCACCACGGCGGCGACCCTCCCCTCCACTGTTGCAGACACTGCCCAGTGCTGGCCTGCTGGGGGGGAGCAGCCAATCCCCCGTCTTTGACCAACTGTCGTAATTTAATGTTCTTGAAATGCCACACACTGCATTAACACCGAGCTGTGTTTCCAGTGCAGTGGGCCTGCTCAAAGGTGACTCCACTCTGTCCTTTGACCTTGAGGTGCCCACACCCTGTGGGCTCCAGGTGAGGCCCCTTCTACCCAGGCACATAGAGCCCAGAAACCACGGCCACTGTACTGTGTGACACTTGGTGAGGCTAGGCAGGGCCCTCAGACCTTGCATTTTATTGATTTTTCTCCTACACTCAGGTCTAATTTTAGGCCCCACACACACAAAAAAAAAAAGGCAAGAAAATGACTGTAATTTCTTCCCATGTAAAACGATCACGTGACATGTGGCTTGGACACCTGCATCCCATTGCTCAGGTTCCAAGGAGCTTTCAGATGGAACTTGATTGCTGAACATTAAAACAGAACAACAAAAAAAACATTCCTCCCAAAGAATGTTCCAGAGGATGAGCACAGAATGAACAGAATTTTCAACCACCAAGCACCATCTTCCCCTCACGGGGACTCAGCCGTGTTATTCAGCTCCACGCATCCACCCGGCATACACTGTCACATGGTCTGCGCCGTGCTGGACACTGGCCCAGAACGGGGGGCAAGTGTGTGTAGGGTCAGAGGCTAGGCAAGCGGGCTGTCATCTCCTTGTGTGCGTTCCTTCTTGGCGGGCAGGAAGTTTGAGTGCCCCAGGGTGAGGGAGTCGCTCTGGGCCCCCCCAGAGAGGAGGGTGGGCTCTGTGTTCCACGGGTCCCTTACTTCACCCGCCCTGCAGGGAGCCACTGCTACCCAGCCTTGCAGACAGAGGCCTGGGGTTCCTGAGGGCGCAGGGGAGAGGAGATGGTAGAGAAAGGAGCCTGGGTGCCTTCTGGAGGGGTCCCTCCTCCGCTGGAGAGCCTGCCCTCCTCCCCCACCAGCCCCAGGCATCCCCAGCCCCACCCACGGATGTCCCTTCCTAATACTTTCCTGCCCTCTGAGCCACCACCTGCCACCCCCACCATCAAAATTCAGTGCTTTGAAATGTTTGGAATTTGTGACTTGCGGAGGAGAGAGCACTGTCCTGTTTGCCTCGTGACTGCTGTGCAGTTTTGGCTTTAGGTGCTAAGTACCGGTCAGAGCGGCAGGTCCAGTGACTTGCTTCACTCCTGCAGCCCTGCCCCTTCCTTGCCACCGTGTTTCACAGACCCCCGCCCCCCACAGGTGTCCCCTCGCAACCCGCACCCAATGCATTTTGATGCGTTAAGTGTCGTAGTTCTTTAAGTTGAAAGAACGCTGCCAGGTCCTTCTCGCGGAATTAGACGATGCAGATTCGTAACACAGAATATCGCATCATCAGCTCCTTCCTGCGGAATGACAGCAGCAGGTTTCCGGTTTCAGCCTTAGAAACACATCATTCACTGGCCAAGAGCTGCGGCCGGTGCTGCGGGCAGAGCCGCACCCACACTGCGGTCGGGAGCTGTTCCGGGTTCCCGAGCATGGGTCTTCAGAGTCATCTAAGAGTCTTGACAGCCTCTCCCACCTCGCTTTCATCCCTTGGCCGTCCAGGCAGAAGGGAGAATTGCGGATCTGTGGCTGTTCACAGTGCAATCCACTCCAGCACTACGAGGGACGGTGCCACTTTGGTACCGTGACAGCACCGCCGAAGGGTCCCGGGCAAGTGAGCGGCAGCTCATCTCTGTGGTCTGTCGTCCTGCTGCCAAGGCCAGCATTGTTCCCTTCTAACTGTCTCTTTTTCTGCGCATAGTTGGGAACAGTGGACGAGGAATGAAATGTTTTCTGTGCAATGAAATACACCCAAGTGAAGTGAGAATGAGCATCAGGAGGACCCTGGGATGTACAGTGGGTACGCAAGGGGGTTCAGAGGACCCCTGTGGCAATCGCGAGACAGAATGAGCTGTTTCTATAAATAAGGGAAACAGTTTTATTTCTTGGAAGACCACTAAGAAAAAAGACAAGTCAGGAATACCAGTTCTGATTTCAGCATCGTGGTACTGCTAGCCTCATAAAATAATCCGGAAGCCGCCCTTTCCTGCTTACTTTAGGGATTATATAGGACCTCTTACTGCCTCCTTAACTATTCGATTGAATTACCAAGGACATCATCAAGCCTTGGAGGGTCCTTTATTGGGAGCTTTTTAACTAAACTGATTAATTTGGTAGTCATAGGATCATTCAAGGTTTCCATTTCTTAAGTAAGTTTTCATTAATTTGTATCTTTCAAGGTATTGACCCATTTCATGAAAGTTGTCAAATGAATGGGAATAAAACTGTTTGTAGTAATTCCCTATCATCCCTGTAATATCTGTGGAGTGTTTAGCAATAGTCCTTTCATTTTTAAAAATATTGGTAGATGGGGTCTTCCCTCCTTCTTTCCTGATCAGCTTAGCCAAGATTTATCAATCTGATTGATCTTTTTAAAGAACTAGCTTCTTGTTTCATTGATTCTCTTCTATTTTCTGATTTATTAGTTTCTAATCTTATCTTATTATTTTGCTCTTTCTGCTTTTTTTAAGTTTTCTCTTTATTTTTATTTTCTTAAATTGGAAACTCAGATTTTTTGAGTCCATTCTCTCTCCTCCATCCCCTTGGAGAACTATTTTTACTTCATATCAAAGAAGAGAAAAACATTTTCAGAAGTTATTCCCGGTACCCCCCCAAAAAAAGAAAAAAGAAAAATAAATTGGTACTTGCAAGGGCTATAATTAAAAGTTGTGATAGTTCTATTGAAGTAAATTTATAGACCACAAAATTTGCTTATTTTACGTGATAAGATCTAGTAAATTTAAAGCATTGCACAGTTGTCATAGTCTAATTTTAGAACATTTCCATCATCTCAGAAATACCCTTTCTTAAATTTTTATTTTTATTAGCCCGACTTTGCAGCACATGCTGACCGCATTCATTGCAGGAGCTGGTGCGTGGACACAACAAAGAGACATCTGACTTCTCTTTTGCAATCGCTTCCCTTCCCACCCCTCCCAGCCTCCCCCTCTTCCTCTCGGTCCCATTTCCTCTTCCAAGAGATCTATCTCCCTGTTTCCTATCATCTTTTATTTTGCTCTTTAACATATTTATATTTTGGGTTTCTCACGTAAGAGAAATCCTGCAAGATTTCAGCTCTGTGTCTGATTTATCTCACTTAACATTATGGTCTCAAGATGCGTCCGTTTTCCCACAAGTGACTCAAGTTCATCCCTGTAGCACAGCAGTGCTCGGTGTTGCATAAACACCAGGCTTTCTCTGTCCTTCCAGCTGTGGATGGAGGCATAGGCTGCTTCCAAAGTTCAGCTATTACGGACGTGCATGTATCACTGCAATATAATGACGTTAGCTCTTTCAGGAAGATACCTAGGAAGGGAATATCTGGGTGCAAAGGAATTTCTAGCTTTAGGTTTTTGAGGAATCTCCATACTGATTTCTGTAGTGGTTGTACTAGCTTATATTTCCACCAACAAGGTGGAAGGGTTCCTTTTCCCCTGCAGCCTTGCCAGCTTTTGTTATTATTTAATTTCTTGAGGATGGCCATTCTTTCTGGATTCCATTTGTGTGTGTGTGTGTGTGTGTGTGTGTGTGTGTGTGTGTGTGTGTCCAGATCTTCTCTGCACACTTCTAGAGTTAGAACTGGCCTTACCCCTAAGATGGGACAAGAACATGGGAGGAAAAAATCCACATATCGCATGATTGTCATTCTTCGAGTTCTGATTTCCTCTCACTAAGCCTCCTGTCATTTAGATTTTAGTGTCCTCACAAAGGTGAGTTTTGTATTCTGTGCAGAGGTTTTGGAGGTAATAAGAGGGAGAGGAAGGGCAGAGGGGTCCACTGCAGCTCACTTGGGAGCAGAAATGTGGCCCAGGACTCTTGCACGGCTTGGGTGCCCCTCAAGCTCCCCGCACAGTACCTGCTACCTCCTCACACATCTCAGAGCACAGCTCCCAGCCTCCTGCTACTGTCCCTTCCCTCATCAGTCCTGGAGACCCTCAGTGTCTGAGGTTACCCAATTCACTTATTTTTCAGTGTCCTAAGCTTACCTGGGAGGGAGGAAGCTCTGTCTGCTCTGCTTGGCTTGGGGAAGGTGGGTGGCACGTACCTCTCAGGGCTCTGTGACAGCTATGGGACGCTCCCAGTGAGTCCTTTGGGTTCAGGGAGGATTTAGGAAGAGTCTAAAGGTGAAGGCAAGGGATACGGGCCCTGACACTTAAGATCCTATTAAGTAAAAGCACCAAAAGTGAGACACAATCCCACCAGCCTTCCGCAACTTTTTATGGTGAGGTGGTGACAGGGGAAAAGGACAGGTGGAGCTCAGACCCCCTCCACCTGGAAGTTCCATGGTTCTGCAGAGTCCGGTAGGCAGTTGGAGCAATGGCGCCGAAGGGCAGGTGAGGTCCTGGGCTGGTGACACGGATGTGTGGGTCCAGCATCCGTGGCAGCCAAGGACATCAGAAGGTGTTGGGTGGGGAACACACTCACTCCAGCCAGCGACTGAGGCAGGCACTGGCCACGTCCCCTTTACGGGGTCACCAGGCACTATATAGAGTCACATCCCCCAACCCGACTTCCGTGAGAGGCAAGACCCAGGGCACCCCAGTTCCTTCAGCCAGGTCTCACCATTCTTGGACCCAGGGCCAAGGGAGCAAGGTCTTTTGTTAAGGGCGCATCACGTTGTGAGTAAACATAACAGAATGTTGATTCTCTTTCGGTCCCACAAACCTAACCTTGGAAAATTAGCCGAGACCCGGAAATCTGTGAGCTGTGCTCTCTAATTGGGCCTTGACTGTTTAGACTGCATTCTTCCCCAGCTTGCGACTTCAAAAAGAAAAGTTTGTAGTTGTTTTACTTCTAAGACATTTAATGTTGTATTATGCCCCCCTCCCCCACCGAGAATAAATGAGCCCTTGTTTGTTTCATGTGTTGCAAAAAAATTAAAGTTGAATAGCATTTATCTGAAAATAAACAGGGACTTACAAAATTTAAGACTTCCCTACCATGCAGCTAGGGAAATAAGACTGTATTTTAAGAATTAAGTTATACCAGATGTGAAAGAACAGACTTTAATGGTACCTTTGAAACAAACAGGGGGTAGGGGAACCCCTTGGGAGATTCACGAGCCCATTAAATTTAAACACAGTTATTTATTAATTTTTTTCTCTTTTAAGACCCAAACAGAAAGTCGCAGATTCAGAACTAGCCTGTGAGCAGGCTCATCAGTATCTTGTCATCAAAGCAAAGAACAGATGGGCGGACTTGTCCAAGGTAAGAAAATGATGATTCCCTTAAAAGGAAAGAAAATGTATCCCAGCGTTTGGAGACTGCCGGGAAGATCAAGCTGCTTAAATCCAGCCACGGAATGGGAAAACAACTTTATACACCCGGTCCTTTGACTCCTTGTGTCCTCAGAGGACTTTTCCCAACTAAACCCTCACGTCCAGGTCAACTGGTGTTCAGAAAGAGGAGTAATTATAGGAGTTACATGGAGAAAGTCTTGGTGATATTCCAGGCCAGATGAGAATTACAAATGTAAATGAAAAATATGAGAAGCTGTCATATGTAATTTGGCACAATTATAAATATGCATTTTAAAGAGCTGTTTCCTCCTCTCTTGCCAAAACGATAGGAAGCACATTCACCAAGCAAACGCCCTTCCTGTGCAGTTGGGCGAGGTGTGGCTGAGGTTTTTGAGCCGAGGGCGGGTACTCCGATAACAGGACAGCTGCGCCTACAGGACAAACGGGAACTCAGGGTCCATCCTGAAACTGGGGATATGGAGTCGCTATTTTACAGAGCACAAGGACCCAGTAACAGCACCCAGCGGGGATGTGTACAACTGCGTGATGGAAGTATTTGCACGTCACGGAGATGTTTCTGCTGGGTTTCACTTGGTCACTGTCTTACCGCCTGCTCTTTCTCGGCTGTGTCCATTATGTAGTTCTGTCCACTGAGTCCCTTCCGGGGCTAGTCCAACCCGGCCAGTCCCAGCCCGAAGCTCTGCATGGCTCACCGAGGCAGAGCTAGTTTTGCATGGCCGCCCGGTAGGCAAGGAGTGCGGGGCAGCAGGGGCTGGAACAGAAGCCTCAGTCACACTGGCTGGGGAAGACAGCAGGTCCTCCTAGCGGGCGGCACTGTCCCGTCCTCTCCCCCAGCGTTTCTGTGACCTCTGTCACTCAGGTATGACCTAGTAAACAAGGAGCCCCTCGCCAGATGTACTGGTGCATGTCTGCAATCTTAGGACTCTGAGAGGCTGATGCAGGAGGATCACAAGTTCAAGCCTACTCTGGGTAACTTACTGAGACCCTGTCTCAAATTTTTAAAGTTGCAAGGGTTTGGGGTTTGGGTTCGTTTTTGAGGCTTTTGTTTTCAGCTCCCATTCCTAAACCAAGGGAAATTGACCACCGCCACCAAAAAACCCTTTTTTTTTTTTTTCTGCAGCCAGCCAGCCTTTCCTCCCTGGGCAGTGCTGCCGCTGCTCTTCCCTGCTTCCCTGTCCCCCTAGTCCAGCCTCTAACACAGCGCAGCCACTGCCTCCTCTGCTGCTGCCCCCTGTGGGCCCTGGGCACTCCGAGGACCAACACCACCCATCCCCAGCTTTGCTCAGCACATGCACCAGGCACGCGCTGGGACCAGTGCTCACCAAGGGCAGCCTGACACTTGCCTCGTGAAGCTCACAGACTAGTGGAGGTGACAAGTCACCAAGCAGCAGTACGGATCATGAGCACTGGGGCTCAGTGTTGTATCTAAGCAGATGTAATAAGCAGGCAGGTGGAGACGAGCGAGTGGCCAGGGAGCTCCTTCTCCACCATCAGCTCAGGGTTCCCGTTGCTTGTGTCCTCTCCAGCACTGGGTGTTGGCCGTGTTCTGGGTTTGGGTCAGTCTTCTAAATGTGTGGTGGTGTCCTGTTGTTGTTTTAATTTGCATTTTCCTGATGACCTACAGTTCAGGGCA